TGTGGGGCGGAAATAGGGTTCTATAAATGTCAACCAGGCCAAGGTGATTGGTAGTGTCTGCATCTGTTAAAACCTATTTTCTGTTCAATCATTCTAAACAATTCTATCAATTACTGAGTGACAAGTGCTGAAATTTCCAAGTACAACCATGGATTTATCTATCCCTTCACTTGCATATATTTTAGGCTTCATGTTTTTGAAGCATCCATCTGTTCATGGATGTTGGGTCTTCCTGATGAACTGACCCTTTTTATCCTTTATCTGTTAATGATTCTTAAAAACTATTCTGCCCATATCAATATACCCACAATAGCTTTCTTATGCTTACTATTCAGAAAGTATCTTTTCCTGTCTTTTTATTCCCCACGATGTGTTTACATTTCTTTTAGTAGAGATATTCTGCCGACAAATTGTTGTTGTCTCTGAAAACTGATCTTTTTCATTCAAATATCCAGCCATTATTTCCTCAATTTCCCCCTGTACTGTTCCTTCTCCTCCTGAAACTAACTATATATATTTACTGTTTACTTAGGACTAAGTCATTTCTGAACATTTCTATGTTCAGTCTTCCTGTTTCTTGCATTGAGTAATTTCTACTGATCTGTTGTCATGTTCACTGACCCTTTCTTGTGTAGTTTTCAAACTGCTGTTATCAATAAACTTTTTATTACTGTACTTTTTAATTCTATAATTTTTGTTCTACAAGTTCCATTTGATACTTTTTAAATTTTCATCTCTCTTCTGAGATGCCTTGGCATTATTTGCTCACTTTTACTTTAAATCACCAAACATATTTTTACTAGATGCTTTTAAGCCCTTACTTCCTAATTCCAATCTCTGAACCGTCTCAGGATCAGTTTCAATTGGCTAACTTTTTTCATGACTGAGGATAACCTGTTCACCGATATATCTAATAAATTTTTATTACATATAGACATCGTGTATGATATGTTGGAGAGATCCTGGATTCAGCTAATTTTCCCTGAGGAGTGATTTTTGCTGTAGCAGGCAAATTTCTAATCGGTTAGAAACCAACCGACTTTTGATTTTGTGGAGCTGGTTTTATGTGCTTTCACAGAAATATACTGGAGACTATTTTGGATTTCTCCTTAATACTACTGTGAGTCCCTTAATTCTGGGAAAGTCTTTAACCCCTAAAGTAGGAGCCCTCTCTGACTTTAGTGTGAGGTCCAAGGCATTTAGCAAGTCTTGTTGGTATTCAAACTCCAAATTCTGTCTCCCTACAGTGGGCAGTGACTGTATTTTCTGTTCAGCTCTTTCAGTCTACCAACTGTTGCTTTGTACTAGGCTCTACCAAACTGCACAATCATGTACAGTTCAGGGGTTAGCTCAAGAACTGAGAGGGACTTATATAGATTGTGGAACTAAGTCTCCTGCCCCTCGTGACTCCTCTTTACCACTATTCCTTCTCAGTTTCTAGCTACTTGGCAGCTATGAACTCCACCTGCTGCCAATATACAAGCCAATGAGACTATGGCTCTCCAGCTGAGTTCCAGAAACCCTGTAACCACATGGACTGTGCAGGCCTTCATCTCTGAGAATATATTTTGTCTGAAATTTTGTTGACTTTCTTTGGTTATTTTAAAATGCATTCTTCTCCTACCTAGTAATAGGCATAAGTAGGCTCCAAGTTAGTTTTTTTGTTTGTTACTCTTTCTTGATTAGGGGAAAGGGGAGTATTATTTATTCAAGAGAAGGAGAAAGAGGTAAAGGGTTATGTTTCAGAACACTGGAGAACTCTCAAGGCTTTTAACATTCTCTCTTCCCAGGGACATACTCTCTTTGTTCAGAAGGCTCTTTAATTTCGTATCAGAATTTATTAAAGCAGTTGACTTTATCACAGCTACAAACCCAGACGTCCTTAGTCTCTCTTCCATCTACTCTTAACTTTCAAACTGCTTTTGAATTAGAAGTCAGATTGAAGGATTTTTTTTTTAAGGCATTTTTGTACAAGTTTCTACTTAGATTTTCCCTCCCCATATCAGGGAATATTCCTTGTCTCAAAAAAGGCTCACTCATACAAGAACAAAGACAAAACTGAAAGAGCAAAACAGCAGCAGACTCAAAGAACCCAAGAATGGACTAACAGTTACCAAAGGGAAAGGGACTGGGGAGGGTGGATGGGAAGGGAGGGATAAGGGGGGAAAAAGGGTATTACGATTAGCACACGTAATGTAGTGGGGGGGGGGGGGTTTAGGGGGGCCAGATATGGGGAAGGCAGTATAGCACAGAGAAGACAGGTAGTGATTCTATAACATCTTACTATATGCTGATGGTCAGTGACTGTAATGGGGTATGTGGTGAGGACTTGTTAACAGGGGGAATCTAGTAACCATAATGTTGCTCATGTAACTGTACATCAATAACACCAAAAAAAAAAGGGTTCACTCATATATCCAGTCCCCAGGGTTTTTGATCACTGGTTGGGCCCCTTTAGAAAAGCTTAGTTCAGCAGTATCTGTGCTGTGCTCATAACCAAAGCAGATATATATACATACCTTCTGTCAAGAAACATTCTATTTGCAAATAAGGCAAAAAGGTGATCCTGTGGATCATATAACTAAGGCATAAGTTAATTTGTTTTACTATAGGGCCCAGATGCCGTCAAATAGATTTTTTAGAACATTGAAGAGTTACAATGGATTTGTGTCTAAGTGAAAACAACTCCAAACCATATGGCTTTATTATTCTGTAGGATATTAATGAATTTTGTGTATTACTGAGTTATCTTGTTCCAGCACTCTTCCCTTCAATGGCTATATATATGCCAGTCATTGTCTGGTATCAAGATACTGTTACCAGTCTGCCACCATCATGATTCCCACCTTAATCAGTAAATCACTGTATATTCCTTTGAAAATTATGTCTAACTTCTTAAAACCATTATTTTGACGATTAAAAAAAATTCTCTTTGGTTTTTCTATGTTGTTAATCTCAGTGAGTTTTAGAAATGAAAATATAAAATAGATACAACAAAATAAAAACCACCTCTGACATAATTATTTTTAAACCAGAAGTCTTCAATTCTGGGGAAAGCAAAGACAGATATAACAAAAAGGCCAATAAATATTTCCATTTTGGAAAAAGAAATTAATAAATAAAAATGGAGAATAGGGTAGTTAAATGTGAGTATGAAAATTCACAACTGCCCCTATCAAGTGTGACCTAAGATTTTTTAAAGCAAAATGGAGAAGACAAGATATAAATCACTTGAAAAAAAAAAACAGCTGGATAACAAAAAGGCAAAATCGAATAGTGCCCTCCTACAATGAAAAACTTTGCCTGACAACTGATGTATTTATTAGACACAGCCTTAAAAATATTTGACACTTTAAAAATAAAGTACCTTAAAACACTTAATGTTTTTTGAGGAATATATGCTTTGCCGCCTACCCCCCCAATACAAATGTACTGCCTTCTGTCTCCTTTGTTCCCTTCAGAAAGCAAGACACTGAAGATTTTTCAGAAAGCATGCAGATCTAATTTCACAAGAAAGGGAGTGGGTTAACCTCTCCTTGAAGACATATAGTGACAGTGTATACATACTCAATTGTTTTCATAATTATTATTTATTTTAGTGAATCCAAAAAGCGTTCCACTGTACAATGTAGAAACTACTGTTGCCAACACAATGAGAAGTGAGGAAGATGGTAATGACCTGCAAGAATCTTATAATCTAATATATGGCATACACATGCAAATGAATGATGGGTAGGGAAAGGGACAGGTCCCTAAGCGGTGCATAAGCATGTAGCACATACGCAAATGTGCATAAATATAACAATAAGAATCAATCACAGCGAGACTGTTATGCTCTATCCTTCACAAGAGCTGAGGTGAGAGAAAACATGACTATAGGTTAACTGAAAAATTTTGGAATATTGTACACAAATATACAAATGTCTTTCATAAAATTCAGTCTCATTCACCTATGCTTCAAGTCTCATGTTTCTTGTATGTATCATACCACCAGCACCAGCTGACCTTCCAACTAACTGGTAAGGTTTTTTTGTCACTTGTAACAGTTTATCCTAGTTAGAGCAATCTCTAAAACAGTTTAATCACTTAAAAAAAATCCATAGGTAGTATATAATGAACTCATATTATGGACATGAATGGAGCAAAATTTGGCATTCTATTAATTTAAAACTACTTTCCTAATTAAGAACCATCAATCTCTTAATGTCTTCACATGTATCCCTAGCATAAGCAGCTGGCTTTAAGCTCTCATTAGGGAAGTTGGTTACCACCATATCATGAGAGTTCCTACTAATGATAATAATAAAGAACAGCAAGCTTTGTTGATTTGCAGATGCAGGCAGACTAGCTGGCTTAACACAATTTACAGAGCAAGCACAACCACTAGCCTCCTAAACAAACTATTGTCACAGGACTTTGGAATTTCTAACAAATGATTTAAAGCAAGAAATGTTCATTCATAAAAGCTACTGATCTTCTACAGAAAGTGAAAAAGTGAAACAAAAGAGTGCTCTTGAAATAAGAGAAAAAAGGAAAGGGAAGAATTATGGAAGAGGGAGATCTGAACTAGGCTCTAAAAGATACTTAAGATTATGGAAAAAGACAGCTTTACCCGTATTACAGAATTAAAGAGGGGAACTCATATTTCAACATCTGAGTTAAACCTCTATTCCAACCTTTTCATTTTTAAAGTGGTTCAGAAAGGTTACCTTAATTCTCAAAGGTGTCAAAGCCAGTCTCCTGATCCCCGTAATATTCCACAGCACCAACTTGCTCTGGCTGTTGTCTTAAGAGTTAGGATATGCTTTTAAATTCTAAAGTGAGCTACAAAACTGCATAAGGGGCCGTGCACTGCCCCATTCAGAAATTCGGGTCTTAAATGTCCAAAGCGATCAAAGGGGATACAGTCCTTCCTTCAGCCAATACAAGGATCCTTGCGCTACAGAGAATACAAGCTGACACTATACCCTAAATTCTCACTCACTGTCTTTTATACTTACCAATTTTTCATTCCCACGATCTGTCTTCACCTCAGAACTAAGTGGAAGAAATAAGTCTGTTGTATGCTCTGGGGAATGCACCTCCCCAAGAACTATCAAACCCTGCAGGACAGAGAGAAAACAGCTTCAGTGAGTGGCAATGTAAGTTCCAATTTTAATTTAAGAGTTAGTATCAAAAGGTTTAGAGGCCGGGGACTGGTTTACCAGAGGCCTTTTCCTTATGCTATAGCTCTGAAATAAAACACACCACCATAGCTTTGCTTTCCCAAGAGTTATTTTCAACACAAAGCCTAGCAATGGCAATGGCAATGAGTACAGCCTCAGCCTCAGACCCAAGCTTGCCCTTTCTTCCACTTGAATGCCCTGACCTACAGATAGTTGTTACCATTTAGCACCTTTTATTCAACATCTTCCAGATCTGAAAACTTTACCAGAATACAGTATTTTATACTATATTATCAACTAGACTATATACTGTATTAATAGCAGCAATGTAGTCTTTCTAGTTAAGCTGATCACAAATGTGGCTTAAGGATTACCGCAATGGATGTGCTACAACTGTAAATGATGAGCTTCAGCAACCAGAACTACTGGGTGAAACGAAGTCACTACAATATACTAGAAATGGAGAACTTAAAAACAAACAAACCAGAAAAACAAAAAATTGTTCCAAAAGTACCCGTTTCTCTTAAGTATAAATTTCATTCCAGATTAGGCTCCTGCTTGTTTGACAATTTCAAATTCAGATTTTACATTCATCCCACCCAGGAAATAGAGAATGTAAATAGAAACCTAAAATGACTCCGCAAATCCTCTCCATTGTAAAAATGCACCCAGCCTGGCAAAGGCAGAAGTTAGGTCACTAAGAAAATCAAACAAAAAACCACACAAACGAATTCCCCCATGAATGCAAGCAGAGGAGACCAAACTCAGGTTCTGACATTGTACAACAGAAGAACTGGATACAAATGACCAGGACTTTGTGCCTTTGGTTTTTTAGTCTAGAAAATGAGATGTGACTGATAAGAAGCTTTCAATGGAAATTTTGTATTAAGAATCACCTGGGGAACCTTCTATCAAACTATATCTGCCCAGGTCCAACATCAAATCTACTCAGACTCTCGGGGGGAAAGGGGTGGATATTGTACACCTTTTAAAAAATACTACTTGATCAGTGTTGACTCAGCATCAGAATCCCTCAGCAAACATCCTAAATTACAGATTTCAGGGCCTAGAGATTTTGACTGTTACCAATCTGAGCTTCCAATGCCGTTATGACATAGGTTTTTGTAAAGCAATGAACCAGATGATCCATCCCTGGGGTCCTTTCTAACTCAAAAATCTCTATGAACTAGGGGGTGCAAGAGATGAAAAGGGTGGAAGAGAGGGACATTAAGACAAAGGAATTATACCTCAGTAAAAAAAAAAAAAAGGATAACTGAACACTTGTTTTCCCCCTGACAGCAAGGAAAACAAACAATATTTACCTATTCTGAGTAAGACTATGACTAGGCTATGTAGCAATTGAAGTGGACACTCCTCAGAGAAGAGGAAAAGGTCATTAACTAAGCAAGAAATATTTGCCCTAGCTTTCAAAATGAGGTTTCTCTGCTAAAATAACTTCTGTAGCAAAACATTTTCTTGCCTCAATCACAAGCATAAAATAGACCTCACAAACTTTATTTCAAAGTAAAAACTATTAGTAAAAATAGCAGCTCTTGCACACTATTCCCTTCTCAAAATATTGCATTTGACATCTCCCCTACTTAAGAGCAGCAACCACCTCCCCATTTCCTGTAATAAAGCTAACCCAAACTCACTTCAGTATATGAAGTCCCAATCTGTCCCTACTTTATCTATTTCCAACAATTTTCTCTAAATTCTGATTACAGTTACATCAGTCTCTTTATCTCCTAGAAGATGTATGAATGTATATCAAGTTGTCACTGCTGTAAGAGTGGGTTATTAGAAATCTATAAAGGTTACTACACTACCTATTCTTATGTCTTTGTTCATATTGATTCTGCCCTTTCACTACATTTACCTATCCAAAATCTTACTCATCCTTTCAAAGAGCTTGTCAAATCCAAGTCCCATCTCCTTCCAGGAAAATGTTCCTGGTTAACAGCTGAGGCCCTACTTACTTTATCCACATTGTCAGACTTCCTAAAGCATCATGGTTGTGTATTACATTCTGTGTATTTAAATCTCATTTCCAGAGCAGAACCTTAGGCTGATTTATTTATTTCATTTATTGTTGCCTCAGTTTGGTATTTAAAATGTTAACTAATGGTAAGCTCCTTGAAGACTTGACAAATACAAATATATTTGAATCCCCCATATTTTCTAGCACAGTCATACGCCAAGGAAGGAAATGCATGACAATTATTTTTTGAGTTTAATGTTAATTTTTTTCCCTTGAACAGGAAAATATTGTTTATATTAATTATAGCCAGGAAACTAAATAAATCCAACTGTTAGGTATAGAGTTACTCTCTCAATTTTTTTAGGTGAGAAGGTAAGTCAAGGTGCAACAGCCTATATTTTCTAAAGGAAAGTATTTTTCCTTAAGCTACTGGGTAATTTGTAAAAAATACAGCTCACAGAGACAATGAAGAACCCTTCTAAGAAATTTTTGTAAGACCTGATAGGGTCCATTTATTCCTCATTTTACAGACCCAGAGGATGCAGGTCAAAGGTCATGTCAATAGGCCAATCCATGGCAAAACTAGGGCTGAAGGCTGAGTCTAACTACTCTTCGTTCTTGCTTTTGTTCATTCAAGTCAGACCATTATTTATTCACTCATCAAGGCTTTTTAGGTGCTAGGGATATAGAAAGGAGGAGATGTATCCTTTACCCACACCCCCTAAATTCTCTGCTCTGCCCCACCTCACCCATCCCCTCAAAGTGCTTAATATTCTAATACTGTGCCAAAAGCAGGCAATAACAATATGAGGAAGTAAATTTTATGCAGTACATTAGAAGGTGATACATGCTATGGAGAAAGGGACAGTAAGAGGATTAAGAGGTGGGAATGGGTATTATTTCCTATTAGGCAGTCATGATAAACTGCACTAAGAAGGTGGTATTTTAGCAAATACAGAAAAGAAACAGAAGAACAAACTTAGGGATATCTGGAGTTAAGAGCTAATGCCAAAGTTACAAGGTTCAAGCCAGCTTGAAGATTTTAAGAACTGAAAGGAATTTGGCATGGCTGGAGTAAAATGAATGAATGGAGTTCATGGTAGGAACTGAAGTCAGAAGAGGTAAGGGGGAAGGGGAATCTTGCAGAGCCTTACTGTAATTCATTATGAGTATTTGGTTTTTATTCTCAGATGGCAAGTCTTTGAAAAGTTTCAAGCAGGAGGAGGAAATGATCTGCCTTATGTTTTAAAATCAATCTAGCTTATTGTGCTGCCTTGAAAACTAGCAGGGGGCATATAGAAAAACAGAACAGTTGCTTGGACCAAAGTGGTTGGATTCTGGATATATATATTTGAAGAAAGTATCAATAAGCTATGTAAATATACTTCTTGAGAGGTGAGAGAAGTGAGTCAGAAACCCAGCCAACGTTTCCAGCCTCTGCAACAAGAATAGAGCTCCCATTAATCTGTTCAGAGGTCTTTCAACTGCACGTTAGTTTTAATCAAATCTATTTTTGCAAATATATACAAGTGCTATAATGACACAGCAAATATTCATCTATACATTGTCCTTCCACCCCCCTTCCCCACAATCTTTAAGTTCACTATAAAACACAAAACCAACCATCAGGTTCTTTATACTGCATCTCATAACAAAAAAGATGAACACAACTAAAAAGAGGATGAGCAAGTAAAAAGCATTCAAAAAACCAAAATTTGTTCATTCAGGTGACATTTATTGAGTGTCTACCATGTGCTGGGTGGTGTGAAACCCTCAGAATAAGAAATGAAATACATTCCACTCACAGTTTATCTTTGACTACTCTGGAAAGACAGGTAGGCAAAGTATTACAATGACAGTGCAGAAGTTTAGGGAAGATGACATGAGAGCAGAAAAGAGGAAGAGACTAAGTGAAGTGGAAGTAAGGCTTTACAGAGGGGGTCTATATGACGACTTAAAATACCCTAAAAATACTTAATAGCCATGAAAAGGAAGGTTATTAACAGCAATGAAAACCATAAAGTTTCACTCCACACCTGTTGTAGCAACCTCAAACTGGGTTTTCCTGGCACTCTGGGTTTACACTGGGTCCATGCTGCATGGTTGTGGCATCAATCCTGGATGGCAATAACCTCTGGGCTGTTGCCCTCTAAAATAGACAGTGACTGGCATAGGCCAAAGTAAAAATGGCTGGGAGAGTCTCCCCAACCTTCACCACCACTTCCCAAAAGTCAGAACCAGGATCATGCCTTGGCTGCTCAGGCATACAGGACTCCTACATAACAACCAAAGGAACTGGGATAGGTTATACTGCCTGCATCATATAGCCAAATAAATTATTCCTTTGTGGAAAAACAAAGCTGTCCTACATGAGTCAAAAAAAGAAAAGAAATAAGATGAACCAGAACTGAAAAAGGTCAAATAAATGACAGAAGAAATTGTGCTAAACCTGATTGCAAAACAGGGCAAAAGCAAACAAGCAAAAGGAAAAACTAAGCTGCATACTTAGACTGTTCCCCCTTTACCAATTTCAGATAATATAAGGAGTCAAAATACAAGATAAACAAAAACACCACCTCTGAATTTGTGATACAAAATTAAGATGCAACTTCACTTACTCTATTTCATTCTGATTAAGTTATCTTCCCCACCCATCTTAAGGTTAAGTCAGTGACCTCACTATAGACCAGTTCCAAAAGAACCATCCTGGGTTACATGGATGAGAGATAGTTGTCCACAATGCCTTATACCTCTATTTATATGGGAACTTCAACTGCTTTACACCAATTTTGAAGACAAAAGTGTTCTAGGCTTCTGCTATTCCCATTCAGTTCCTTTTCTAATCAGAATCATCAATGCTCTTCTACCTCTCATTCCCGATATTTCCATCTTTAGTTTAGCAATTGCGGTGTAATTTCACAGATCAGTCACAAGGGATTAAAAAACGATATAATATGTCATGCTAGACATGAATGTTGAAGACTATGTTAAAACAAAGAAGTCTCCTTTAGCAATGGAACCCACCTGGTCCTGTCTTGTCCCCCATCAGTTTTAACAGGTGTGAAATTTACATTTATGTTCAAGCAAAATGATGCAAAGTCTACAAAAGCAGTGTGTTACATAGAAAATGCTCTAGAGTAAGATAAATAGCCTGAGCTCAAATTTATCTCTACCACTTAAAAGCCTCTGAGCCGTAAGATTTATTCTGTGCATTAAACAACATGCATGAATGTACCTGTACAAACTCAATGTACATACATTGTTTTCCTTCCTCGTTCTAAGGCATGAGAGCATTTTTAAAAAAATAAGTTACTCAAATATAAAGGTCAAAATACAGAAGTATGGAGAAGAGTACAGAGGAGCTCCTAGAAACCATATCCTTTCTCTAAAGAGTGACATGACTTATTCCCAAAAAGAGACTCTATACAACCTGGCCTGGAAGTTAATAACTAACTTCTGATAGAACAGTATTGGTAATTACCTAGCAGTTCCCAAACATTTTCTTTTTTGGAATACATCACTTTAAGAAAGTCAAGGTTAATGTGCCAGGAAGTGAATCCTTAAAAACAAGAAAGAAAAGCCTTACCTTCCCCATTCAAGGACAAAGTACTGTAACTCTACAGCTGACCATCAAACCTAGAATCATCTCATGAAAATACCTGTACAACCCAGGCAACTCTCGCAAATCTTGGAGCAGGATGAGAAATAGAACACCAACCCACTTTACTAAAACACAGTGAGTTAAAAACCTCCCTTTTCAGCAACTAAAAAAATAACCAAGTGCTAAAAGCAACTGCTAACTTGAGCAACAAATACTCAAATCTCAGCTCTTCATTCACTTGATTGTATAACCATGAACAAATTACTTGACCACTTTGACCTTCCAGTTGTTTACATTAAAATTTCTAACAACAAAATGCTTACATAGTGCAGGGCACAGAGTAAATGCTTAAAGACTATTATTATACTGAAACATGAAGAACAAATGAATGTTAATATATATTTTGGGGAAATTCCATTGCTTATTTGTTATACAGGCTATATACTGTCTCCCCCAAAATATGTGTCACCCAGAACCTATGAAACAGTCTTGCAGATGTAATCAAGTTAAGATGAGCTCTTTAGTATGGGTCCTAGATCCCAATAGGACTGGTGTCCTTGTAAGAGGGAAATTTGGACACAGACACACTGACAGAGAAAATGGCCATGTGAAGGTGGGGGCAGAAACTGGAGGGATGCAGCTATAAACTGAGGAACACAGAGAACTGCCAGCAACAACCAAGGAAGGATTCTTCCCTAGAATCTTCAGAGGGAACATGTCCCTGCCTACACTTTAATTTCAGATTTCTAGTTTCCAGAACTGTGAGAAAATAAAGTTTGGCTGTTTTAAGTTTACCACCCAATTTGTGTTTTGTTATGGCAGCCCCAGGAAACAAATACATTTGTTTTAAAAAGACATTGTATAAATGTAAGTTTTTAATAAAGCTGTGGGTTTTCTTGACATATTACTTATTGAGACTGTAATTCTACTTTTTACTTTGTCAGAATTTTTTAATAGACATTGTGTATTCAGACTGTAAACAAAGAAAACGTATTATAATAGAGAATGCTTTATTTTACAGACCACAAAACTGAGGCTCAGAAAGGGTCAGTGACTTTTCCTCCAAAGTTATATAGCTATGCAGTAGCGAAGCCAGGACTAGAATCAAAGATTACCAAGTCCAAGTCTGGTGTTTCAACACATTGTGTTCTGAATGACAAACTCTTAGGTAATCAAATACATACACAAAACTTCAGAATAACTACTTTCCAGATATTTAGAAATACTTTAGATTTCTGAAAGTTTCCTGATACTGCTCTGTCATTACTGCTGAGGAATAAGAACCAAAAATGAATTAAGAGTATCTTCTTACACACAGCTTGTGAGAATGTAAACTGAGCATACTGACAGAATACTTCCCTCAAGTATGCATCAAGAATATAAAAGTATCCATGCTGTGACTTAGGCAGCTGTTTACTATGGCATGCTTCATAATTCTAATGAAGAACATAATTAAAATGGTCAACCAGGAAAGGTAACAGAATGTAGCCAATAAAAATGTTTTCCCAAAAAATAGGAAAATGTTCAAGGTCTGTATGTAACAACTAGGTTTAAACAAATTATTTAGATGCACAGAAAAAAATGAGTGGAAGAAAATATGCCAAGATGTTCATAGTGGGTAACTTTGAGTTCAGGTTTTGTTTTCTTGAGTTTTAATTTTAAGGCTGTTTGTTTTAAAGAGCAGTTAAGTTCATAGCAAAGCTGAGAAAGTACAGCTATCCCATGGTAAATTTTCCCCCCTCCTTTTTTGTATTTCTCTGCATTTTCCAAGATTCATAAGAACTGATGCACAGTATTTCATCAAATCTAAGACATGCTTTTCACATCTCAACATCTTATCGAATCAGGGTGCATCTTGTAATTAATAGTATATCTCAGTTTAATTTAAATTATTTCTTAGTGGTGTGGTATATAGGTACATAAAAATGATTCATCTTACAACAATAGCATATTTGAGTCTATGAAATATAGCAGCTTTATAATGGGAAATTAATATATATACACATGTAACACTCATATTTATGAATGTATATAAGATAAAGCAACAACTATGCCTACCATAGTACCAGATTTCAGTTGTTACTATGAAACTCTAATTCTCAAATATGGAAATTCCCACTTAACTAATTACTGGCTATATAAAAACCTAGTGACAAATACTGAAGGTGTCTCCGACAGAGCCAAGACTGTTTTTCTCCTTAGGATAGGCATATCTAGTCACCTCTTAACTACTCTTATTACCATACCATTCCAGCTCATTATCTACAAATTTCAATTTCCTTTGTGAAGAAGAGCTAAGGAAATCAAAATATTCACTACACTTGATAAGTACTTTTAGTTTTAATTCTTCATTTGCTCTAGCTAATTTTTAAAGTTAGTTAGGATTTAATTTGTCCCCTATCCTAAGGGATCAAATTACTTAAAGTTAAGCCCTCTGGACTTTGCCCTCTCTAATACATTCTACTAAACTTTTGGAGAATTAGACATAAACCCATTGTGGAAAGAAGCTAGAACACTTGAGTGGAATTTTTGGAATAAAAAATTAAATGATATCTACAAGAGGCTGCAGAACTTTTACTTGAAACTTTCATAATTTTGTTCATCTTGTCAAGTTAGTCATCATTTAACTTTTGGCCTACTATTTAATTTAATGCATACAGTTCACAGTACAGTATTTCTCTTAAGACTTTGACCAGTATTAGGGTAGCACAAAAAAGCATGACCTATATTTAAGAGCAGTAGGCTCTTCAACTAGACCCATGTGTCTAGTCATGGGACTCAACTGCATCAAGCTAATACAAAAAATACATTGCAAGAATGTTAAGCTTCATGAAAGCAGGCTTTTTAATTTACCGCTATGACCCCGTTATGGAGAACAGTGCTTGGTACATGGTAAGCACTCAACTATTTGCTGAATGGATTTCTCTTCCATGCACATTTATCCCTCAGTCAAACCCAAACTCAGCAGAATACTTTCTAAGCTGATTTTTAAGAAGAAAAACTATACATGGTGTAATTGTCAAAGATCAAAGCTGTATGGTAAGAACCCATCTTCTGCAGTCTTCTATGTAGGAGGGCACAGGAAAATAAAAATTCTGATCACCAGTTTCTAATTCTGCCTAAACAATCTTTCAGAAAAAACCCTATTTTTCCTCAAGAAAGCAAGGGGAGCTTAGCAGTAAGATAGAAATGTATTTATGTAAAAAAGCAAGGTGAATTATTACCACTTTTTCACAAATATAAAAAATGAGTTTCTTTTTCTTGTTTCCCATTAGCCCAGATACATAAATTGTTCTGTTCTAAACACATGTTCAATTTAACATTATATTCTAGCTGTGTTGTCTGCACTACACTAAGCAACATCAGGCTCTTAAGCAAATTAAACCACTGTATCAGATCATATTAATTCTTTTGACACAGTTAAGAGCTATTGAGGGATGGGAGAAAAAGGATAATGGTAGTTTTTAGACGGGCTGAAAAAGACCAGACGTTTATTCCTTACCTTATTAGCACGTATCTGTTTGTAAATATCTGTTTGCTGCCGAATTCGATATTCCAAGTCAGAAACATGAGCCTGAAGCCAGTTCCAGCGGCTGACAATAGCTGCTCGATCTGCAGCCCATCTCCATTCTGACCTGCGCCTCCTAAAAGGAAATAAACTGAGTGAAATCTAAGAGTATCAGTAACATTTATACCAAATGGGAGTGGGGAGGGTTTAACCTCTGAAGGCCCTTATATAGACTAACTCTTGTGCCAAAACCCCCCAAGACTTTATACGTATGTACGTATGTACATATGAATGTCATGAGAAACGTGTGGATAAAAATCTTCACATACAGATACTTCCTGAATTAACTAGATGAAAACTGCCTTTAGTATCATCATCCTGTGGCACATAATTTCTTTGAAACTGCTTTAATTTCTCAAGAGATAAATATTTTTACTTTAAAGTAAGACATATATAAAGAATAAAGTTTATCCAAATGCACCATGAATTATTAAAGCTAATCAAGAATTCACCAAAGTTGCCAAGAAAAGATCAACATACAAAAACTAACAGTTTGTATATGCCAACAAGCAGAAAATATTCATTTTTAAAAAAAGTATCATTCACAACACCAAGTGCTAGTATTATACACTAAAGAGTTTTACAGAGGAAATAATAAAAACTGAAAATATAAAAGACCTACACAAATAGTGAGATACTATTAAGATGGCAAATTCCATATATATCTATAAACTGAAGTTCCAATCAAATCCCCTACAGGATTTTTAGTGGGAGCTGACAAACAGATCTGAAAAATCACATGGAAAATGTATCAACAGTAGAGAAATTCTAAAGAAAGGTGGAAACTCACACTACAAACCTACTGAAAAGCTACAATAACAGAGACAGTCTAGAAAAACAGACCAATGGAGACAGAATATAGAGCCCCAAAACTCAGAACTGGAATTACAAAAGAGATGGCATTCATATCAGCGGGGGAAAGAATGAACTATTCAATAAATGGTATTGATATGCCCATTTTTTAAAATTAAGCTATCACTGATATACAATCTTATGAAGGTTTCACATGAGCAACACTGTGGTTTCAACATTCACCCATATTATCAAGTCCCCCCACCACCCCATTTCAGTCACTGGCTATAGCACAGTAAGATGCTATAGTCACTACTTGTCTTCTCCGTGCTGTACTGGATATGATCAATTCTTTACATGGAAAAGTAAACTTACTGGTTTCCTTCTTCATGAAATAATACCATAATTTAATATGCCATATAATTTAATATGCCAACAAGCAGAAAATCCTCATTTTCTAAAAAAGCATAATTCACAACACCAACAAGTGCTAGTATTATACACTAAAGAGCTTTAACAAAGGAAATTTTGGAATTCCTAAATCTGAAAAGCCAAACTTAAGGAATTCTATCTTTGGAACTTCAGAGCAGGGAAGGATTTAAGTCAGATTTTTTAAAAAATTAGCTGATTTTCAACATACAACAAAAGATTTAATAAAGTCAAAGGCAAGCCACCTGTTGGTATAAGATATCTGTAACACACAAAACTTATGATCAAATACTGGAATATATAACCCAACACCAACAAATAGGAAAAAAAAAAAAAGATAATCTAATAAAAGACGAATAGAAAATTCACGTAAGAGAAATCCAAATAGCCAATAAATACATAAAAATCTGTCACACCTGTTAGATTTGGGTTAAAATGTTAGTATTAGGTCAAATATTAAGCCATCATTTCAAATCCAGGTTAGAAAAACCAACTATTGGTGAGATGTGGAAAAGAGCAATTCATGTAACTGCTGGTAACAATTAAAAACTTGCACCACTACTCTTAAAATAATTTGGAGATACTTGGCTAGGTAGAAAATGTGCATACCCAACCATCATGAAACTCTGTTTCTGAGATGACCTACACATCTGCGTGAGGAAACAGGTTCACTGCAAGAGTTTGTAATAGCTACAAATTAGGTACAGTCTAATTTACTAACATAGGGGAGTAGATAAATTGTAATTTATTCCTTTAATGGATTTTCTATAGCAATAAACAAATTAAACTGTAACAATCTGTATCAATATGACTATACCTCAGAAGATAATGCTGAATGGAAAAACCATGTAGAAACTAAAATTAAACTAAAATACTATGACAGATATACACACAGTATATTCATCAGTTTCTCTATGTATCAGCAATGACTAAATCTCAATACTGTGGAACAGAAAAATTATATGAAAACTAAAAAAGAATAAACATACAATGATAAGAATTGTTATTAATAAATAGTAAATGTATAAAAGCATGCATGGAATTGATATACAACAAATTCAGGCCAGGATCCTCATTACCTCTGGGAAGAGGAATGGGGAAGTGGGATTTCAGCTCTCTCTAGAGTATGTTTGACTTCACTTAGTCCCGCTTTCATTCAGGATATATATAACCACTACTAAAAACTTTAAATGGCTGTAAGTGAACTTTAACATAATCCACTGATAAGGTGACATATATTAATAAAAGAGAACAAATCTAACCACAGAAGGGTTAGAAATCAGATGATACTTAATCATACCATAATAATTAAAAGACCAAAGGTGACAATGGTATTTTATGGTCCAGAACTAACCACTCGAGTCAAGCACTGTGATAAAGTATTATCCAATTATTTCTCTTTTAAAAAGAAGCATCTTACAGTTCCTTAACCTTGATTCAATCAGTACAAGATATAAAAATACATTCTTTTTTAGGTACAATTATCTGGTCCATTGTTGGCTGCAGGTCTAGTTCTAGCCCAAATTCAGGAAAGAACCTCAAGAGGTCAAGTATAACCTCTGGATCATTCCTAAACTAAAAAACTTCCCTCGTTTTCTAAGAGACAAAGCTAGTTTAATCCTTATATCCTAATACCAACTTTGATTACTCTTCAATGTTCACCATTTACTGTAAAATCTCTTGGTTTTTTTACAGGTTCATCTCATTTCTGAGGCTACCAAATTACCACGTCCCAATCTGTCACCCTTGGGCTATTCCAATAACTTCCTTAGCTACTATTCCTAATGTAAGTCACATACGACTTTTCCTAAACAAACTCCCCTCAAACCTATTTCTTCCTGTCACTCATGTGTAAGGAACCACAGGGCTCCTTTGTTTCTTTCCAAATCCTAGCTCTATAAGGAAACAAATTGTTTTCTAAGGGAGTCAAACACTGTAGACAGCAATGTGGGGCCAAAAACTGATTAATAAAATTAACACAACATCCATTTAATCACAGTTTATTCAGACAAATTTGTTTTAACAACTGACAGTGGCGAGGCCAAAATAAAAGCCCAATATACCGGAAACCAAAGCAAAGCAAAGATTTCTTGTCAAGTTTACAGAACTTCCTCCTTAGTCACCCTTGGTGGACAAAGAATCCTAGCAGTCTCTCCCAGAGACCCCACAACTTAGCTTATAAGCCATTTCACAGCAGTGTTCCAGGACACTAAGAACTCTAAATTGGCAAGAAAGATGAAACCTAGCTGTTATCTCTCAATTTAGACACATCGTAAAAGAAACAATTTTTTCTCTCTTGTTTGAGGTCAAAAAAACAATGATGAAAAAAAAAACCCAAACACTTGAAAATCTGTTTCAAAGTTTTAGAATACAAAAGGAAATTACTTAAAATATTTCCATTCATAGGAACTCTGATGGATGCTTTTTTTTTTTTTAGTATTAAGGAAAAGCCCTTTTCAACTGTCCTAAGGTCAAAATGAGAAAACCTTCTATACAAGTACTCTTCTAAATATCAATATGAAACCAGACTTTCTGGTAATATTTTTTGGAGACTGGCCAATAAACTAATGAATGACAGACAGCATTAGTAAGGGGGTGTTACTTTAATCCCCAACTTATGACAAAGTTCCATTCTACAAATACATTTGTTATAGTGCAGAACCAGAAGCTATTTTTAGTAGAAAGTTGTCACAATGTTGTACTGTATTTGATGAAAAACTGGAAAACCCACCCCAAGTGTCCAAAAACTGTCGTCTTCAAAATACCAGAAATATGGGCAGAAAGTTTAACTGCTGGCTAAGGGGTGAGGTGTACAGTGTACAGTTAACACGGCTAAAAATGTTACCAAACTCAAGAGTAGACCACCACAAAACATTCCCACAAGAGTAAGAATTCACATCTTACCTTTTTTTCCCTTAATAAAAACAACAGGTCACAGAAATTGTTTGCCAGAGGTAGAGGTGGATTTCCCCTTTAATATTCAAAACCTAAGTTTATTACTCTGATAATTTACAGCTCAAAAACCAAGAGACACTGATTTAACATAATATGAGGGTCACGCCTATAGACTTCAAAAAAGGACACATGAATTAGGTTGCAGGATGATACTTATAAATAATGATGAGTTGGTTCTAATGTAGCGGTTATTAACAATGAAGAAAACGATGTAGATTCCACTACTGATGAGCCTTTAAACTTTTTCTTACTACATTCTACTCTGTGCTAACAAGTGGTGAAATAACTCCTTTAACTGTCTGTGCGGGACACCAGAATGTCTTCTAATGTCTTTTTCTGCCATGTACATTTCATCCCAGTTTGTATCAAAATATTTGTTTACATGTACTATGCTACTTGCCTAGTGATATTCATTTTGACTCATATTTTGCTCCTTGCTTTTATGAATGTTGTATTTGAAAATTTGCTTTGTCTGCATGTACTGTATAAAAATTCATTGAAATTATACACGATAAACTGCTTTTTAGTTGCCTAAATGCAGGAAGACACAGTACCAATATTTGCTTTTATAATACCACATGAACAGTAAACTTTTGTTGTTAGCTATATACCAGTACATATTTGTATCAAATAATGTATGTTGTATAAATACATTTTTTAAAGCTATATGAACGTACACTTCAATAGGTCTTTTTACAGGGATAGTAGAACATTGCCACATACCCAGAACCTGGGATGTTTTATACCAAGAATAAAGGGTATTTATTGTATCTACGTGAACAACAACAACAAAACAAAAAACTTACATTTATAAACACTTTGAAACTGTAAGGTGGGAAGTAATGCAACATTAGACTTCAGCTTACATGATGGACAATGCAAAAAAAACAAAACAAAACA